TATAATTTCACGCGTGCGAAGTCGCGATCAACAGCTAGTAACTAATTATGTTGTACACATCATGAGGTCTCGTGTAATAAATCGCTTAATTGGTATGCAATTTAGGATAATCTATTACGATGATAAAAACTTGTTACTAAAAATATAAAGTCACAAGTTATTTATAGCGCAGGTGTGTTCACGCGTCCAATTCATGGCCGCAGCGACCAAATCGAGATTTGACATAGAAATGAAATTATTACCGTCGGCTTCCACTGCCCGAAAGTATCTTTGTAGTCTCTCTTGTTTTAATGATATTTAAAATTGAGTGCAACGGCAGTGAAAAGTCACGGTTATGTGAAACAAAACTTGTTACTTTTCGGTACATGTAAATTTATTTTTGAACTTGTGTTTTTTAGTTTTGAAATTTACATATCGTTGTCATAAAAGTTTATTAATGTTCTTACTATCCATATCTATAATTATTAATTTACTAGCTGATGCTCGCGACTTTGTCCCTGTAAAATTAGAAGACAACGAAAAACATAGCCTACGTTACTCACTGATAACGTAGCTTTTTAATGGTGTAATATATATAAAAATGACTTATTTCAATACATATATAATACATATCGATAAAAATATAGTTTGTCTAAATAAGATAGATTAGTTCGATAAATGACGCATATGAAGTATCGAATTTAATTTGTACGAGGGAAAATGCCTTACTTAATAGACAGGTATCGTAGTGACGAGAAAAACACGCAGCGAACAGTTATGAACTATCGATATTCGGTTTAAATATTTATCGAACTCAACTAAAATTATTATTTTCTTATGTAATAGCGAAATCCAATTCGATTACTTACGGCTTTAGTAGTAATAAACATTTATTTACTCTCATTATTTGTAGTGGTACTGCAGGTCATTTTTTATTTGAGAAAACAGTGTTTTTTTTAAATTCATAAGTTATAACTATGCATCTATCGACTCCAACTTCTATGAGAATAAAAATAGAAAATCGATAAGATTCGTGACTGATTTTACACAACCCATCCCTACTAAATTTGAAGTGCATTGTTAAACTAATCTAAATTATTTAGACACTCTATAATCACTATAATAAATAGATAGATGAATTTTTAAAAAAACAATCCGCGCTAACGAAGTTTGCGAACGACATCTCGTTCCAAATAATAATAGTAAGCCTATTGTTATTGCTACGTACATAATCATATTAATTCATGCGTACAGCGTTAACATCGACATAACTACATAGCAAGGCCACAAACAATAACACACACTATAATATATCATAGATACGCTTTACTTGAATAGTAATGTTTTGTAATTCTTAAGGAATGCAGGATGTTGCATAATTTATTTACTTGTTTATTTATAAAACAATCACGTGTTTCTAGAATGTTAAGAAATAAAATACGTCGCGTACAAATGCTATACTAGACTTTGATGGCAATTCAAAAGCATACATCATAATATTTGTTACTAACTTTCGCCCGCGATTCCATTCGCGTGGATTTTTTTTTATATAAAATAAGGTGGCACACGATCACCGAAATGGAAAGCCGCTGCCCATAAACATCCGCAATTGCAGATGCGTTGCTTACCCTTCATTGACGGAGGAGACGCACATTAACAGGACATTTCCCATTCCTTTGCGTCCCCTCCACTATCAAATCCATTTTTCCTTCCCATACTTTCCTCTTAAGAAAAGGGTGGAAAGGGAAAGGGACTAAAATTAGGCCTCCGGCACCACACTCATCAGACAAAACGCGGAATTGTTTTCAGTTCACGCCTGTTTTCTGTGTGGTCGTGGTATTGCACCGGGCGAGCCGGCCCATTCGTGCGAAGATGTTAAAGCGGGCTTTACCACTGTTGAAATTAAAAAAACAATACACTAAAAAGTAACGAAATAATCCCTTGAATATGTTAACCTCCCTTAGTGTAGATTATTACTTAGATGTCGGTGTTAGCCGAGGTTCGCAGTGATATTTCTACGTAAGGCTTTCTACATTTTTACCATAACAATTGACAATTGAAAGTATAGTAACATTGACTGACACCGACTTCAAAGTAATAGTAATAGTACAATATAGACATAACAGCTACAATAAGGGAGGTCTAATTAATTCACGGTGTTGTTTCGTTACTTTTTAATCTATGTGTTCCAGACTATCCTAAATCTATGACAAATTTCATGGAGATCCTTTCAGTGTAATATAATGTTCGCATTTTTAATTCTCTTTGAACCATTAATGTTAGTACACCTTTGTACTCGTACGTGTTATTCTTAAAGATTTTAGATATTTCAACATGTACTTAATTCAAATTTAAATTAATAAAACTTTGTGCATACAATATTCGAGTGTGTTTTCAGTTTGAAAAAATTTAGTTTACTACTTTTATCTAACCAATACTTTTTTAGGTAATCTATATCTATATATATAATAAAATTGGACTGTCTGTTTGTTATATCAAAAGAAAAATGCCATATTTTAGGAAGATAATGTATTTGCGTCGCTGATTTCAAAAGTCGAATGATTTTTTTTTTCTGTTAGTCCGCTAACCGCGTTAGTTCCGGCCAGTCTTTGAAACGGATGGGCCGATTTCGACCAGACTTTCACTGAAGGGTAGCTGACATAGACAAGCATATTATAGGATAATTTTTTATCTTAATATTGCGTGGACAAAGTCGCGAACAACAGCTAGTAAAACATAATCACTAATGTGCCAAGCAATTTAATACCAAGTTAATTTAATTCCATCTATAAGCTGAAGTATGAAGTGCTTTTATGAAAATTAATGTGATCCTAAAAGGCAAAAGTCGTTATAGAAATTTATGTTGTTAATTACGAGATATTATTTTGAACGGTGACTATTCCATTTTAATAATGGCATTTAATATTTATGTAATCTTTATCTGTGTCTTCTAATCTACAATTTTCTTTTATTAGTATTAAATTTCATATTTAATCAATTCCGAATTAATAAGTATTTTCACCAATTAATTAATTTATACAAATATTTTCTGAATACATTTTTGGAATTAGTAACATGTTTATTATATCATACAGAACAATGTTTATAAATCACGATCACATCAAGCTTTTAGGTATTTTTATTTCATTTTATTAAGTAACTAGCTGTTCCCGCGCGGCTTCATCCGCATGGAATTATAAAAATTAAATTTTATTGTTACATTTGTCAAATTATAAATAGCAAATGTCAAACTGATTTGACATGACAAACCTTGGCAATTTTGTTTCCTTGATGTTAGCAGCAACTTATGGTCTCTTTCCCACATTAGGGTTTTAATCAAAAATATTTAGCCCCTAAGTTTAATTCCGTGAAAATATATAGCCTAAAGCGTGACGTAAGTGTAGTGCTTTTTATTAAAAAAATAATTATTTAAAAATATGCTGTCATTGCTGACATCTTAGACAACAAAGAAGTATGTGTTTACGCTTCACTATAATAGTGTAGATGAAAGTATGAACTATATGGTGTACTTCCTAAGCAATTGATAGGAATGTGTAGTAAGTTGAACGTATTATGTAAACACTCTCATTAATTCCAAGGTCAATGATAATGATAACACGCGGAGCGGCATAATTGATGCAACAATTTATAACAGGAACGTGTTAAAACTAATGTGAGTTTATACTGCTCAAATATCCACATAATAACATATCGCTGACTCAATTATTTTAAGCGGTTAGAGGGGGACAGGATGATTTGTAATATGAGGGAAACACTGATGTAACAATGTAAATAATGTAGATAGGAAACAAAGAGCTCTTACGTTCAAATATTGAATGTCAGTAGCTAGGAAACATATATTATCTAGTTGATTGCTTCCAATGCAACTTCCAACAATCTTATATCGATGTCAATCTCTGTGTTTGTCATACATTTTTATTTATAAAAAGATGATTAAAATTTTGTATTCTTCTTGACGTATTTGCGATAAACTTATGAATTAACTAATATGAATTACTTCAATCAAATTCTTATTGTATCAAACATCTGGATTTATGGCGGAGACGCATAGGAAGGGTGAATATCCTGTTTATTTGTGTCTCCTCTGTAAGATTAAGGGTAGATAATATATCTACAATTGCGGATGTATATGGGCAGCGCTTCGCCATTTCGGTGTATTCAGATGGTCACTTGCTCGTTGGTAAAAATAAAATAAAATGAAAAAACTTCCTTTCCTAAGCCTCATCACACTGCGTAATCTCTTCGTCGTGACAGTGTTCGTTAAAATTCTTTCCCCTTGTGACTCAGTAACGATTTTAAAAATATATACATTTTTAATTGACCGTAACGTGTGCGTGTCATATTACCACTTAAATTTGCTCTTAATCTCTTAATACTCCAGATTTGCATACACCGATGTAGAAACCCGATTACATATTAAGGAAAACTTCAAAGTTAATGCCATTTTAATTTTGAATTACTCGTTTCGTACGCATTTTGGAATATCATGTTATTACCAGGGAATGTGTCCATTTACCGGGATATGTGTATTTAATAACCTTGAAACAATAGTACACATTGCTAAAACAGCTTCGGAAATATATACTTTCCTATACTTGATTTGATGGTGGAGGAAACGCATAGGAAGAAGAAATGTCCTCTTTATGTGCGTCTCCTCCGTCAATTAAGGGTAGGCAACGCATCTGCAAATGCGGATGTTTATGGGCAGCGGTCGCTTTCCATTTCAGTGGATTCAGGTGGCCGCATGTTCGTTTGTCACCAGATATAAAAAAAAAATACATACTTTACCTAGTTAACATACATTTACAGTAACATATGCATAGTTTTCCTAATTCTTATTAGGCAAAATTCATATATTGTTAGCATTACGTAATACTATAATATAATTTTCTGATTTATGTATTTATAAATCTGTTTTGTGTGATCATACATTAGAAATTTATTTAATATATCAAGGTTTTTATATCCTTGGTTAGGTTACCGTAAAATTATTGATTAAAAAACTAATCGAACGTACTCTGATATTTTTTGGCAAAACAACGATCATCGCATTAATAACTTTTCTATCAAAGGTTCGTAATGTATGATTAAAAACAAAGTGATTCAAGAAAATGAGATAAACCGCAGCAGTAAAATGTTAAAGAAGTTCGTGGAAGCGATACTTCTTAAAAATACCAGTGGAATATTTAGAAAAACTAGGAAGGTAGTAAAGAAGGTATACACTAGTCGCTCCAATTTCAAAAGAAGACGCAATAAAGAAGATTCAGTTGGTAAAAATATTGAAAATGAGACAAAGCACAGTCAATATATGGACAATATTAAAACACACGAGGTTAAAAAGCAAGCAAATAATTTCATAAATAATGTAAAAATACCCAGTTTATTATTCCTCATAATTTTCTACGTATGTCTTTTTAATGTGATAATTTCGTGTGATGTTAATATAAATACTGTAAATATAAAAGCGGATAAAGACGATAAGTCACTTACATTTAATAGAGAAAAACCTTGGATAAATCTTGGCCAATCAAAGTTGAAAGTCCATGGAAAGAATTTAAGAAAAGGCCGTGCTTCTTTACATGAAGAATCCGAAGATACATCAGAAAAGTACACCAATAGTGGTGCTCAAGATCTCGATAAATATTACAATTATTACAAAAATAAGGAAGAATTTACAAATTCAACAGATTATCCTAAAAATTTATTAGTATTGAATAATATTTATGACAACACTCGTGCGATAGGATACCCTCATGACTTAGCGAGTAGTCCGTATTTTGTTAAAAGGACAAATTTTAATTTAAGACCCGAAAGACATCAATTCGATGAAAAGATAGTGAAACTTGGAGTACTGTTATCAGCAGACCCTACCCAAGTGTTTTCACTAGCTAAAGTCCTTCCAATAGTAGAAATGGCAGCTGTAGCAGTAACAACGGAGGATGGACCATTACCAGGATGGAAAATTTTAGTGGACTACAGAGATACAAGATGTTCTTCTGTTGACGGACCCTTGGCAGCTTTTGAGTTTTACGTTAATGGTTCTGCTGGTAAGTACTACTAAGTAATGTTTATGTCGCTTTAATATAATTTTTCACCATAAATTTTTGGATTTCAAAATATATGTCTTTGTAGATGCATTTATCGGGCCAGGATGCGAATATGTGATAGCCCCAGTCGCCAGATATGCCGGTCCATGGCGGATTCCAGTATTAACTGCTGGTGGCCAGGCTGAAGCATTTGGATATAAAAATCCGAGCTACCAAACTCTCACAAGAATGATGGGCAGCTATACACAAGCGGGGGTAGCGATTAGAAAAGTTTTTGAGGTAATTAAAATGTGAATCTTTAAAATTTTGTGTACTGAGTGTTGTATTGTGTTATTGGTGATTTATTTTTTTGGTTTAAAATAAGTTTTTTTTTTACGTGTGTTGTGTTTTATTTTATAAACGTTCTGGTTTTTGGCTTGCTCATTTTTTCTTCACCTGATTATTAGAAAATTACTTACCATTTTCATTTTTGTTTTGGATTTAAATCTAAACACTTATTACTAGTAAGAGAAGACTGGAAAACTTTATGGAACGATTATTTACTACATTTTAATTTATTTACTTAAGTTTACAACAAGTTAAATATTTTCAAATAACGTGTAACTAAAATACAATATTGGAATCTTAGATATTTTAAAATAGTTTACTGCCTTCAGTTATAAAATTCAGTTCAGTAATAAAATATGCTGCAATTGAAGATGTAAATATTCGACTGATACTGACCCCACGTGTATGGGAGAAGGATAGAGAGATTATCGAAAGTATCATTTTTATGTTTTATTTCTTTTTGTTACTCAAGCGTTACATCCACAACTTCTATTCAGAATAGTTTAGATTCTGTATTAAACAACTACACTAACTACATCGATATTCATATTAGTTTTGCTAGTTCATAATTCTACAGAATTCTCAAAGCTTCATTGAAACTAAAGGTTTTGATTCAATTTATCTAGTATTTTTTTTTTATTAGAACCGGCTATAAGGTATCATAGAACGAGAATGTGTTTTCCAATTAATTGTTCCTTAGTTATGTCAACCTTCCTAAATGTAAATCTTTATCTGCTAACTATTTATTATTCAAATTGTGTACTCCAACTTTTGACACACCAGATTCTAATAGATTAACCTAATACTTGACTTGAATTTTTATCCACCCAGATGGTTTCTTTGAGTAATTATTGAATTGTGTTCAATATCAAGGGATATTTCTGTTGTCTTTGGTTGTTTTGGTTATTTTGTATATTGTTTGTTTCAACATTGTTATAAGATATTTTTTATTTTATAATAGACCTATATTTTAATGCTTCTCAATTTTTGTCCTCAGTGATACGATTATTAGGAAGTTATTGAGTGATATGATTTTTTGAATCACATATTCAATTTCTTTACCTTTTCTTTCTATCTCCTAGAAATAAATATACACATACGTAATGTATTTATTTTCTTATTGTTGCAGGAATTTAATTGGCGTAAGCTGGGTATGCTCTATCACAACAATGACCCCGCATCTGGAAAGGGGAACAGTCCATGTTACCTCACTCTTAGTGCCGTGTTCACCGTCCTGTTGAAGAAGAATTCAGGATCATCAATACCAAATATACCGTTCGATGAAACGGTGACAAACACAACAGTGATAAAGGAATTACTAACAAATCTCTCGTTAATGACGAGAAGTGAGTATGAGAAACGTCTAAAGCAAAATGACCTGTTTCATTTTAAACCTTTCTATTTACAGATATATAAATATACACAAAAATTATAGGATTTTTAAAAAGTGGTGTCTTGCACAATCTCATGCGGCATTTTTGGGATTCCACTATATTTTTCAATACCATAAAACAAAAGTATTTACGGGTCCACTCAATAATGCAATTAAAATTCTTTCTTTAAACGGGTTTTAAGAATCAGAATTTATTTAGATGGTCCATGTTGATGTTAAATAAAACTTTTTAACTACTGTACTCACAGCCTAATGTTAAAACAACCATGCAATTCAGCAGACGTCAAAATTTTAATACCATTTGAAGTTTTAGCGTGATTTTATCATTTAAGAAGTCAGTTACAGTCAGTTACATATTAATCTCGATTCTATCAGTCATTTTACTAAGAGAAATGCTTTGTGTTTATTTATTGTGTGTGTTGTGGTCTTTACCACTTAACTCTCTTAGTGCAGCACTAAATGTGGGAGAAAATTTTGGAACTCCTAATTCAGTTTTTTTTTTAATTATATCATGGCAAAAACTATTATAAATTCGATAACTTATCCATTTCATGCAAATGTATGTAAATTGATTATTTACGATTGTGTACATTAGTGCAACTGACTATGTGAAATGGCTTTCTCACTGCTATCTACCGTGGTATACTTCGTGGGAACTACAAAATATTATCTAAAAAATATGCACTATAAAATGTCGTTGCAAATTCTTTAGTATTTGATTTGAATGTTGCTTTCTTCACTAGTGATCGTGTGGTTGAAGTTCATATAGCAATTAAGCCTTTAATGAACAATCGTCCCAAAGGAAGAGTCTCAGTATTTAAAACTTTTAGTTGTTCCTGCTACGATATGACGTTGGTGTTTTGTGTGGATTCCTAAATGAATTGTCTAATCTTTGGTAATAAACCAGTTATTTCCAATTTTATTAGGACTAATGTTCAATAAAAAATAATTTCCAATTCTAATTATATTAACTCTTTAAAATATTCCATCGTGAATGAGCAATACTTATTAAAATCTAAAACATTTTTTTTTCTACCTATTTTTCTATCTCTGATGTTGTTCTTTACTTAGTTGTGTAATTCAAAATTTTTTAGTTCAGGTGCCTTAAACATTTTTCTATAATTTGTTATTAATTTGATGATTAACAGATCTTATATTCAAAGACGTTTGTGTTAGCAATTTTTTAATAACACCAAGTCTCATTCGCATCAGCGTCATAACTTTATCATAACCGTGAAATCCCAATCAAAACAATTGTATTACAGATGTCTCTTTTTTAAAAGATAATTAGAGGGAAGAGTATATTTCGACATAGTTTTGTCATTTTATTATTAACCGGTTTCCCAGTTACTTTTAACTATTCGTTAATGTTTTTGGTTCGGTTTCATGAAATGCGTTTCCGAACTACGTAACTTGAGTTTAACTCCGTTCTAAATCAGGTCAACCTGACTCTAATGAATCACTAGATAACGATAAAATAAATGGAATCTTCAGAAAGCCAGCATTAATAATGTAATTCTTGTTACAGTTGTGGTGGTCTGCGCTAACCCGAGCACAGTGAGGGAGATTATGCTCGCCGCTGATGAACTAAACATGGTGTCATCAGGAGAATACGTATTTTTCAACATCGAACTGTTCTCTAAGTAAATAATCAGTTTTTTTATTAAATTAAAAAAGAACAGTAAGATAAAATGCTTGTTTTACAACTAAGTTGCCACCCTCATGAGCAAACTACAACAAAAGTGTATACACTGGTACAAGTAAAAAGTTTTTTATTAGTATTAAGTGAGAAGCGAAGCAAGCCACGGGAATCGGCCAAAGTAATGAAACGACCCCTGCTTATAGACATTCGCATTTACCAATGCATTGCTTACATTTAATAGAGAAATCCGTTTTTACTTCCGGTTGCAAATGTTATTAATTGACTAAGGAACGTACATAAAAGGAACTTTCTCCTTCCTAGTCTGAACTTCTTATTAATCGACGCTTTTATAAACAGTTTAGCATCCGCATCATCAAAAGAACCATGGAAGATAGAAGGCGACACAGAAGAAAGGAACGAGCGAGCTCGACGCGCCTACAGCGCGGTACTGACAGTCACCAGCCCAGCGCCAGAGAAGAAAGAATACCTCGAGTTCTCTGATAAGGTCAGCCTACATGTAGCTCGTAAGTGAAGCATGAGCAGTGCCGTGACGTCATAAATGGCACATAACATCTAGCAGTAATTCCATGACGTCAAATTGACTTCCTAGATGTAAATTCGAATGTTGTAGTTCGCTAAGGAAAGGTTGTAGAAGCGAAAGAGGTATCGTAGAATGTAACATAATACAAAACCGATAAAAATTGTTAATCCAGGTTACGGAGTTTCTGCAATTTTTGTAGTTTTTTTTCGCACTATCTCTTGATCGCGACTTCGCCCCTGTGACATTAAAAGTAACAAAAAAAAACCTATGTTATTTACTGAAATCGGCCCAGTAGTTTTAAAGTTATTTCAATACATACAAATATTTCCTTTTTATAACATCTGGATAGTTGTTAATAAAAACATTGTTTACAGGTAAAAGATCTGGCGGCTACGAAGTATAACTATACATTCGGCAAAGGGGAGATGGTGTCAACATTCGTTGCAGCATTCTATGACGCTGTGTTGCTGTACGCTCTTGCTCTCAATGATACTTTGAGCCAATCCGCCGACCCGAGGGGTCAGTTAGATGGGTCGGCAGTAATCCGCAACATGTGGAACAGAACCTTTCAAGGTAATCTATGTTGTAACATTTTATACATCTATCTGTAAAGGCTACGTATTTAAGCCAGAGGTAACAAAGCAAAAGTAAAGACATACTCAAACTTGGGGTCCGAAGGCATTGAGCGGGTTTATGAGGCTAGAAATTTGGGTTTAGTACTTGAGCCGAACTTGCGCTACGAAAAGCATATTTCGG